ATAGAGTCCTACACAGACCAAAACCCTAACCCTAATCTGACCATACAACTACGTGTGGCACACGGCCACTGAACGTGACAAGTCCAACCTCTCCACACCACCCTCCATGAACCCCGCGCGCTCTTTTTCCACGTCAAGCAATCCCTGTGAACACAACAACCTTGCAGTAAACGGCGTGTCGTCTCCAACTACCCTCTCAAACATTGCCGCCGAAGCTTCAACGGTCAAACCTTTCCCTGTCTTCTTTCTGCATTTTAATTTTAAATCAATAAATATTTTACTTTTTCCCGACGTCTGCTAATTCAACACCCACAACCCAAAAGGTAAAACTTTTAACCGTTGAAGAAAATAAATTCTAGAACCTTATAAATTTCCTAGTTTGTAGTTTTGTTTCGTCCCCAAGTATTCTTGCGTGAAGCTCACTTTTTTATTCATCATAAAAAAAACCCAAGACAAATCAAAAGGAATTTTCACCCACCATTTTTCTTCTCTGGCTTTTCATCGTATAAAAGTATGGTGGTCGTTTCTGTTTCTGAAACTAGTTCAAACTACTCGTCGTTTTTTCCCTCTGTTTTCCGATGCATTCAGTTTACAGTTCTTCCTCTGCAATCGTTTCACTGAAGGGTACAGGTATTTCGGATTTTTCGAACCCGGTTTCGGGTTCCAGAACTTGGTTGAAGAGTTCTTCGGGTTCGGGTCAGAAAGTCGGGTGCTTTTCTCGTTCCCAGATGGAGAACATGGGTAATAAGGTGGTGGTCGGCACCGGTGGTTATGTTCTCGAAGATGTTCCTCATTTCTCGGATTACATTCCTCATCTGCCGGTACGTCGTCGTTTCCATCTTATCTTTTCGATTGTGAACTTTTGTTGTTTGTGGATGGTTTTGTGGTAAATTGGTTGTGTTTTGATGGCCTTTTGCAGACCTACCCAAATCCGTTGCAAGACAATCCTGCATACTCAGTTGTCAAGTAAGTACTTGTATGACTTTTGTCTAAAGTTGTTTGCGGTGTTTCAAGCGTTCCAAAAGTCCCGTCTAGCGCGGCCGGTCCACTAGGCGGCTAGTCATTGCCCAATTAATTACTAAGCGTGTTGCTCAATTGGGTAATTTACATGATTTGTTTTTGTTTTTGAAATTATTTTCAGGCAGTATTTTGTTAATGTGGATGACACTGTTGCCCAAAAGGTGAGCCTTTTCCATGTTGAATGTAATTTTCCCTCCAATTTTCTGACGAAGAAATTACATGTTGGAATTGTATTGCAATTTTTACTATCTGTGTTGAATTAGTTCAAGTGTTCTCTTCTGCCTTTTGTAGATCGTTGTTCACAACAATAGTCCAAGGGGCACACATTTCCGGCGGGCAGGACCGCGTCAAAGAGTACGTTTTTTTCGTGTGATTTACAAACGAATTTCGACATGATTAAATACCATGATCCTGTCAACGACTCTGTTGGTTCTTCGTCATCAGGTGTATTTCGAGTCGGATGATGTTCATGCCTGTATTGTGACATGTGGGGGTCTATGTCCTGGACTCAACACAGTGATTAGGGAGATAGTATGTGGCTTGCACCATATGTATGGTGTCAAGAGAGTTCTCGGAATTGATGTAAGTGATTTAAAGTATAAACCAATTTTCGATTGCATGATTCAGTGGCGTCATTGGCTAATGAAGTTTTCGGAAATTTTCAGGGAGGATACCGGGGATTTTATTCACGTAATACGATTCCTTTGACTCCTAAGAGCGTGAACGACATCCATAAACGTGGTGGAACAATCCTTGGGACATCTCGTGGTGGCCACAATACCACAAAGATCGTTGACAGCATTCAAGATCGCGGAATCAATCAGGTTTTTATATTGTTCTGTGCATTTCTCGGGGTCTAGATCCCCTTCACAGTGCATAGATTTAGCTTAATTGGTTTTTATGTTGCAGGTTTACATAATTGGAGGAGATGGAACCCAAAAGGGTGCATCTGTGATATATGAGGTAGTCTAATTTATAAGATTTCCAGTGCCATACTATTGCGTTTAACTGTAATTATTTTCAATGACATTGTGGCTATTCGTCATGCAGGAAATTAAGCGACGAGGTCTCAAAGTAGCAGTAGCCGGAATCCCCAAAACCATCGACAATGACATTCCGGTACATTTTTGGCTTAGCGTACCTGTTTGCAGCTGAGTTATGCACAAAATCTTTTGGTAAAATGTTCTTTCTTGTTGGTACACTACAGGTTATCGATAGGTCCTTTGGCTTTGACACTGCCGTTGAGGAGGCGCAACGTGCAATTAATGCAGCGCATGTCGAATCTGAAAGCATTGAGAATGGCATTGGTGTTGTAAAGCTGATGGGTCGCTACAGCGGTAATTAAGCTCACTGCTTGTTAAAAAATCACCAAGATTGTATCGAAAAGTCTACCTATATTTACTTGTTTCACCACTTAAACTGGATGATATGATGCAGGGTTTATCGCTATGTATGCAACGCTTGCAAGCCGGGATGTAGACTGCTGCTTAATTCCTGAATCACCCTTTTACCTAGAAGGCCCGGGTGGACTTTTCGAGTACATAGAGAAACGACTCATAGAAAATGGGCACATGGTCATAGTCATGGCCGAAGGTGCAGGCCAGGAGCTTCTTTCTGAGAGCATTCATTCCATGACCAAACAGGACGCTTCAGGAAACAAGCTTCTCCAAGATGTTGGACTATGGATTTCCCAGAAGATCAAGGTCTAAATTCTAAATTCTAATTTCTAAAATGCATTCTCACCTGTTATAATCCGCTAAATAAGATTTTCGCGCAACAGGTTCGTTGATTTAACTTTTGTTTTCTGCAGGATCATTTTAAGGAGGGGAACAAAATGAGCATAAACCTCAAATATATAGGTTGGTAAATAAACATACAAAATTTCTAGTTACACATTTATGTTCCCATCGAGTGGGAAGGATTAGAGCAAATCAATCAAGCCTTGCACTTCATTGTTTGCAGATCCTACGTATATGATCCGAGCGGTTCCAAGCAATGCATCTGATAACGTGTACTGCACGCTCCTTGCTCAAAGCGCCGTCCATGGAGCAATGGCAGGTTATACAGGATTTACAGTTGGGCCTGTCAATGGGAGACATTCTTATATACCCTTCCATGTGAGTGCCTCATATCATCCATAAAATTAAGAAAAATACGTAGACCATATAATCGGTTTAAGACTTTTATTAAAAAACTGAACGGAGGGACACTAAACAGGTCTAAATGTCTGCTTAGTGTCCTCCAGCTCTATTTTGATTAAAAGTTTGTAACTAGTTCCGTTAACGCACATTACCCGAAAATTAATCTTTCTTTTAGTTTTTGATAAAACATGAACTAGGGATTGACATGAAGTGATTGTTGGATGGTTGATTTGCAGAGAATCATTGAGCAGCAGAACAAGGTTGTGATAACTGACAGAATGTGGGCGCGGCTCCTATCTTCGACAAACCAGCCGAGCTTCTTGAGTACCAAAGATGTCATCGAGGACAAGGCGGAAGAACCACCAACCCAGTTGCTGGATCACGAAAATGGTTTGGAGGTCAACTTGTTGAACAAGAAAATCAACTCTGCTTGTAATTGAGATCACTACTGTAATGCTCCTTAGTTTTAGTTTCATGTATTCGAAAGAGAGAGCGAGAGTCGAAGTCTTATCTTTGAAGGCGTTCACATATCTGTAAGAAATGTTTTCTTCATCAAAAATTTGTACGGACGTTTGTTTCCGTAATAATGACAGTAATAAGATGATTTGGTTGTATATTGTAAACATATGATTTTGAGGCAGTATACCATGAAAAAAGTAATGGATGACCAAGACGTCGTTTGGAGAGATCAAGAAGAGATATTTTACCGATTCTTTCAACTATTATGTCTTTTTGCTATTTAAAGAAGAAATTTAACCATCAATCATCACATCATGTGGTCTACAAAATATGGTCTCTCTAACATCACCCTTTAAAAAACTATGAGTTCGTGTTTTGTTTATCAAACCAAAGGTTCAGTGGTACACAACCGAACAAAAAGCTTGAACTATTTTTGGGAACACATTCCGTAGACCTGTACCGAAATCAAAGTCAATTTCGGTGTATCTTGACTGACCTTATTCAGATAGGTACTTTCAACGCACTCTACCGAACATCCCACATGTTGTTGAATACACTCATTTTAAAAATGTAATACTAAACAACTTGTAATTCTAATATGAAATGATCATTCAAGCCCTCAAAGCTACTCTTACTCTCTATTGTAGAACAAGACCCTAAAAACACAAACAAGTTGATGAAAATATATCTTTTGATGAACGGAAGAGTTTTGCTCCTCGTTCATTCGTTGGTTTTCACATTCAAGAAATTATTTAAATAATGGAATAACAATTTGACTTTTTGCAAAGCCTTGCTCTAGTTGGAATCCAAGAAATAGGAAGAAAACTAGAGAATGTTGTAAAATTTTAAGATGTAATAAATGTAATATTCTTGTTCGTTTGATGATGAAGAAATTCAATGTTTTTTGGTTGGTTGGAATTGACATGACCTCAGTTCCTACTATTTGTCCATCAGACTTCTTAGAATCCAACGTGATTGTTTAAGAAAATTTGAAGGATGTTTATAAATCAAACGGCAAGATGAAGATTTTATATAATTTAATTCATTTTTCTTGTCTTTAAAATATGGATTATTCTACTGTTTGAAAGAGATGAAGAGTTTGATGTGAGATTTTATACAATTTAATTCATCTTTCTTATCTTTAAAATGTGGATTATTCTATTGCGTGAAAGAGATGAAGATTTTGATGTGTGGTTAATTAGTTGATGATTGTGGGGGTGTGTGAGATGTGAGGTGTGGGGTGTACAAGATGTGAGGTGTGATGGTAGTATTGGAAAATACACGGTGTGTGTTAAAAAAAAAAAAAAAACAAAAAGTAAATGTGGAATATTAATAAAACAAGCCAAATATTTATTTTTAATAAGAAAAAGGGAAGCTTGTAAAACTGGTTCAGCCAAACAGAACATCGAGGCTGGTCGAGCTGCAGAAAAAAACCGAACGTCCGTCTGAGAAGTTGGAGAGAGAGAAAGAGAGGGAAGGAGATGGGGATCAGATTCATACTTATGGTGAACAAGCAGGGGCAGACCCGACTTGCCCAATACTACGAATACCTCACTCTCGAAGAACGGCGAGCTCTTGAAGCTGAAATCGTCCGCAAATGCCTCGCCCGCAACGAGCAACAGGTCCTCTCTCTCTCTCTCTCTCTCTGCACTTTGCTTTCATCGATTTCTACGCCTGATCATCAAATCTAATTATCCGAACCAGAATCTCCGATTTTCTTTTGTTTAATACGAAATTAGCAATGCCCAATTGTTCAATTCTGAGTTTGCATGTTCAATTGGGTTGAATTCTGAGATCTTAGTTCCCAAGTATTTTGTTTAGATTTTGCTTGTGATCATAAAAAAGTGGAATTGGGATCCAGAAATTTATTGGGTTATTTCGGTTTTGTATCAGAATTAAGAAATTTTAAATTTTTACTGGATGCATTGCTTCCTGAAATTGAAGTCGCATACAAGTGAAATAGGATGTTCTTGTTTAGTCGCTTAGGTCGAATTCGAAACTCCCGAGTATAAAGTTTGATAATTTGAAGTTGGAATATAGGTTGTAAATATCAAGCACTTGCTACATTACCCTATGGTCCATGTTCTGCATTAGATTTTATGTTTAGGGGATTCGGTGGGCAGTCTCATTTGTCACGAACCCTTTTCGAAGTTCATATTTTCGGGTCCTGCTGAACTTTTCATCATGTGGAAGATTTCACTACCTGCCTTCCTCCCTTGAACAAGGTCTTTGTAAACGGGTTGTATTGGTTATTAGGATGCTTACACATATAGGTGAATGCGGAATGCTAATGCTAGTCATGTTTAGCACCAGTTATTTCTTTGCTTGCATATCTATGGAATTTGGCTGGGCTGTGTCCTAAGTTTCGTTGTTGAACAGCACAAGTATATGAAACTTGATGAATTTGTGAACTTAGTTTTTTGTTTGTTTGTTATTAGTAGATATTATACGACAGCCGTTATACATGTCTATGATGCTGATTTGTATTGTACATCGAACAGTGTTCGTTTGTTGAGCACCGGAACTACAAAATTGTGTACAGGCGCTATGCTTCGTTGTTTTTTCTGGTTGGAGTCGACAATGATGAAGTAAGTTACTAACAACACAACCCTGTTCTGTTGATGCCTCCAACCATGTCTTCTTAATCGCTGTTTCTCTCTTCTTGTCATTTCCATTGCAGAATGAGCTTGCAATTTTGGAATTCATACATCTGTTGGTTGAAACCATGGATCGCCATTTCGGCAATGTGGTAAGCTCCTCTTCCAAAACAGATTAACTAAGTATTCTTTTTCTTCCAACTTTCGAGTTAAACTTGCAGTTTCGTGTATTTACTTCCAACTATATTGTTTTATCGGTTCACCTTCGCAGTGTGAACTAGACATCATGTTCCATTTGGAGAAAGCGCATTTCATGCTAGAAGAAATGGTCATGAATGGATGCATTGTTGAGACGAGTAAGTCTAACATTCTGGCACCGATACAGCTGATGGACAAAATGACTTAGAAAGATGCCGTTGTAGATGCTAGTTCGCTATGCATTGTATCGAGTTACTTGAAGGGTTTGAATTTATTTGTGTTTGCCTGTTGTACAATAACTGCAAAGAGGATAAATACCATATTTTTTTCTTTGTTAATGAAAATCGTCGTTTATTTTGCTTGAATACACTAACTTTGTTGAAATTCATTCAAAAACACAAAGGCAAGTAGAACATTGTGGAAATTTATGTAACATTTGATCTTGTTGATGTCTGAGGAAGCACAACCTAAGCTACACATGATGTCTTTCTACGTACGAATAAATCTGCACAGCAAGACTAAATATCCCACAAGGCACTCTCCTTCCTAATCTACAGAAACTTGCAATCATACAGCTGCAGGCTTCCCGTCCTTTCTCGGGTCACTTACAGCGGTGAGCCTACCGTGAAATATTTGTTCGTTAGAATTCTTTCCGCCTTTCCGGCCTATGTTTGCAGGATTTTGAAGGGTTTGGACAATGAGCTGAGTGATGGCTCCCCCTGCCTGAGCCTGTAACTGATGACCCCGCTGTTGCAAGAACAGCTTTCTTTCGTCTGAAAGCTCGATGTGATCGCCATCTATGACTGTCATGTTCTCGTAGCAAACTATGTTCGGTATCAGCTGCACGGAATTAAAAGAATAAATTAAACAAACGTAAAGAGTTCATAATATCTATCATGGCTATGATCTGAATCAAGAAAACAAACCCTGTGGTAGATCCTTGGACTTTGAACTGCATCTAACGGGTCCATCCCTAACACGAAATGATTAACGAAAACCTGGGTTACTGCTGGAATTATGTTCATTCCGCCACTGCCGCCAAGAACCCCGGCCAACTGATTGTCCTGCAAATGCCGAAAAATTCCCTGTTATTGGCTACCATTATCTTAAGGACACAGAGTATGCAATGCAGTAGTTTCTGTACCTTTGTGATAATAAGCGGAGTCATGGAAGATAAAGGCCTCTTGTTTGGTTCGATAAAATTTGCCGGAGCAGGAGGGAGATGGTCGGGGGATATATCCGTTGGGGTTGAAAAGTCACCCATCTCGTTGTTGAGCAGAATTCCGGTAGAAGGAGAAAGCACTCCAGCTCCAAAAGGGTAATTTACGGTGCTAGTAACCGAAACTGCATTTCTGTCTGCATCTACTATGCAGAAATGACTTGTTCCATGATCTCTGAGCTGACTCCACCTGAATCATTGTGAGCTGAAAGAACTTTAGAGTAATGACTTAGAAGAAAAGCTCTAATTTGAACCAGAAAAGTCGAAACATCATGCCTGTGCAGATAGTACTCAGGAGGGAAAGTCGTGTTGTCAAATATCTTCTTCCGAATTTTCTTTGCGAATGATGGGGAAAGCATAGCAGAGGCGTATTTAGTTGTATCTACGAACGCAGGGTCGCCCAAGTTCATTCGGATTGCAAACATGTGTTTCAACGCTTCAATCAAGCGGTGTAGACCAAGATCTCCTTTTGCAGCATCTGAAGTTCCATAGCTGTTGAAAATGTTCAGAACCTGTGTTTCAAAATGCATTGTCATCGTCATCCCATTAGGATCGAAAACTCTTGCTTTCATAAGCTATCGAGTTTGATGAAGAACAAAATGGTAAAGAGAAATCACCCACCAAAGAGAGCCCCAATGTTCCACTCGAAGGAGGAGGCATTCCAAAAATTGTGTAGCCCATCACATTCGCAGCCACTGCATCCACAACATTCACCTTGTAATTCCTCAGATCCTCCATTGTCAAGATCCCACCAGCCTCTCTCACATCCTTGACTAATTTCTCGCCAAGAGTGCCGTTATAGAATGCTTGCGGCCCAAGTTCCGCCACCGCCTCTAAGCTCCGGCCAAGTTCCACATTGTAGCATGTATCGCCTTCCTTTAACATCTTCCCATTTGGTGCAAACACTTGCCTTAAGCCAGGATCACTTAAAATATCATCTCTTAATGCACTTAGATATCGTCCCAGATAAGGAGCAACAACATATCCATCTCTAGCTAGTTTTATTGCAGGTTGAAATAAAGTCCTCCAAGCGATACGCCCGTGTTGCAACCAAGCTTCATGGAGACCGGCTATCTCACCCGGAACTCCCATTGACAATGCACCTTCAACCTTGGCTTTCGGATTGCTCTCATACATGTTCTGTTTGTTCACAATAACAATTTACACACAAAATGCAGAACAAAATTACTGCGAATATTTACCTACGAGATTAGACTGGATCCATTGGCAGGGCATCCTGAGAAAACCTCGCTTCTACTCGGTTTTCTTGAACTTTGACCCCATCCTATGACATAGTTAATTGTTTTAAGGTGTAGAATCATCATTTCTCAGAAATTAGGTTTATAGTTTCGGATTGGTTGATCCCTTAGGTTAACAAAAACTTGAAGCTCTAAGGGGTCAACCATGTCAATAAATGGGATCAAAGTCGAAGAAAATTAGAAGTGAGGTTTTCTCAACGAGTCCGATCTTCCTGCACAAACAATCTCTCCAGTGAAAACTAGCATATCAACCGAAAAGATAGGATTTTAAGACCTGTGAAGCAGCTAATGGGGCAGTTTCCCTCATATCAAACGCTTGGGTTTGGGAGGTTGCTGAAGATCTCACAAGCATGAAAGCTCCACCTCCTATCCCACTTGCCATGGAATTAACAACACCAAGGCACAATGCAGTTGCCACTGCTGCATCAACAGCATGCCCTCCCTGCCTGAGCGTTGATGCTCCGATTTCGGAACACCTTGCATCATCTGCAGCAACAACTCCATTTTCTGACTCAACTACGTCAGATTCATTGCCTCCAAATTTCCCATCATTGTGTTTGTTTGATCCTTCAAGTAACCAGCCATTTGTGTCCCCTCCGAATATAAGGCCTACAACTAGAAAATTACACGAAAAATGGAAAAAAGGTCAATTATTAAAGCATTTATCTTTACAAAGTATGGTCAATAATTATGTTTCTACTTTGTACAAACAAGAATTCTATAAAAAAAGGGTAGATTCCCACTTCCCAAAAAATGTGATATTATATGTTAAATTTGGGGATGATGAACAAAAATTTCTCAAGTCGTTTTTTTACTAACAAATTATAATTTGACGTGCATGCGAAAACTTATTTATTTTGTAATTTTCTCGAGTTATATTTGCATATTCGTGTACTGTGATTTCGTTGTGAGGAAGAATTGTTCTTACCCTTACATGGCAAAATTTATGGAGAAAGTGAACGGAGGGTGGAAATTAATTTATGAGAACGAAATTTAAATTATGAAAATTTTTGGTCTCCTCCATAGCTGCAAACTTAAGCACCAACACACTTGGCATGTATAAAGTCAAACTTAGGGAAAACAAAATTGGTTCCTTAAATAAAAATGTTGCCAAACACAGAGATCGCGCACAGAGACACACACACACAGATATATATATTTATATTTATATATTTACATGTATGTATATATACACCAGAGAAGATCAAAACTAAAAAATGATCAGAGAGAGAGAGAACTGACAGATGATGATGGCTAGAAACGTAAACAGGAGGAGCCAGAGAGGACCGGTAGTCTTTTTGCTCTTATTGGCCAAACCATGACTGCCCAGGAGTGGAGCTTCCGAGCTCTGCTGCCCCATTATTCCTGTCTGGCCTCAGACTCACCGAGAGAGACAGAGGGAGAGAGAAGGTTAGGTGACAGAGAATGGCAGTAATGCTTGTCCTTCACGGGATATCTTTTTAGGCTATTTTTTTATGAATTAGTGAGGCGTGACAAATGCACACTTGTAACAAAAAATAATGTATTTGTCACGTTTATATGGAGACGATGATGGTTTGGTTTTCATTATTTTAATTGCAAAATGACTTTTACGGTTTTATCTCTTGTTTTTATATTAACTACAGTAAAGGAGAATGAAAGTATAAAATATGAAAGAAGAATTTTAATCTTTAGATTAAATAAAGTAACATAGAACGAAAGTAATGTAGAAAAAGAAAAATAGCGTGTGAAAATCTCATATTTATTAATCTAGTTAGGTTTATTATTGGCTTTTTCTTCTTAGAATTAATCAACCTCCGTTAACCATATACAGGGTTTAGATTCCCGCCGTCAGACCAAGAAACGAAATAGAAGGTTTAGAATTAGATTCCGTCTGTACTTGGTTAACTTCCACCAATTAACTGCTGCCACATCATATCAAAGAGTAGAAATCTTGTTCCTTGATACTGTGATAGTTGTGGTGTGCGTTCGGCACTAAATTATACAACGATTCGGCTTTAATAAGTGTTAAATTCTGACATTTAAAAATTTCAATCATAAATGAAAGAAAATATTATTAAACCGCAACTTGAAATAGTAAAAATGTAGAATTTTTTTTATTATGATTAGAACATAGATGATATACTGTGTATTTTTATGTAAGTGGTAAGAAATTTTATTTTTCAAATTATTAATTTTTTAACACACATATCCCACCATTTGTATAGTGATACGTGTCGTGGTGTACCATCTTGTGTTCCAATCACACTGAAAAATCTCTGGTAAAAATAGTCTTGAGTGCACCCAATTTAGGAATTAACGTGAATAAATTGACATCCTTTTACTTTAATACAATGGTCTCATATAAGTGAACTTTGACTAAAAGCTTCCAGTACCATTCACTTTAACGAAAAATCATATTTTTACATTAAAAAGTTAATCATGGTACTATTCACTTTACATTTATTTTGACCTTATCGTTAAAACTCAAAGTTTTTAAGCTTTTTTCATTAGTTTTCCTCTCATAAAAATGGTCTTAAGTTTAGACTAAAATCGACAGATTTCGTTTATATTTCTGACGTATCTGTTAAATATCTAATAAACTCGTATATTTCCATCATTTTTTATCGGAAACAACCGATATTGATATCGGTATTCAATATATCAATCAATATTTTCGTAAATTTACATATTAATATTTTTACAAATACCGATATTTTAAATACTGTCCAAACCCCACCCACCCACCAACTTCCTCCTAATAAGTTTGGACTTTGTGGAAGAATCTTGCTTTGGGCTTGCCTAAAAAACAAAGTATGAAGTGGGGCCAAGTCAAGTCCCTTCAAATTGGGAATAATGTTGCTTAGCATTTTTTTCAATTACAAATTCCCCTTTATAAGGTCAAAATTGTAAATTCGAATGTCCGTTCGTTCTCAAAATTTGACCTTGTTTTCTTTTGAAAGGTTCCGTTTCCTCTCACAAAACACCATTAGCATATACATCAAGCCATTTTAACACGATTGTTTCGTAATCAAACATGTCATGAATTCGGACTTTCGAGGATCGATAACGACGGTTTTTATCATAATGTCAGCCAAATATATGACCATGGAGAGAAAAAACCGATTTGGATGCACCGGCACGGCACAAGCAAATGGACGCAAGGCATGGAGTGTGTTGAAAAGTTAATGTGCTCGGGTTGACAACGGCTATGATGCTATCCATGATGTCTCGAAACATACGTACGAGAACTTTTCTTTTTTCTTTTCTTTTTCCATAAGACAGGCCACAATCTAAAAAATGACCTCGATCGAAAAAAAATAAAAATCTATACACGGTTCATATTTACCAAAAAATTTAAACCAAAAATTAAAAATAAATAAAACTTGAACTTTGTCAATGAACCTCTTTCATGACTGCCAGAAAACGTCGGGGTCGCTGCTGTACAATGAGTGATCCTGAATTTCCTGGTTCGCCACATGGCAATCGATGAGTCGCGACTGCACGAGTTTACAGAGTGCCAAGCCGCAGGGAAGCACCCACCATTCACTTTCATCCCTGAATTGATGCAAGAACTTTCATTAGTGAGGACTGAAGTTGCTGCAATCAGGGATATAAACAGTTTGCTGCCATGAAGGGTTGAAAAACTTACATGCTAAAATTCCAGGACTGAAAGTTGGAGTGCTTTTTCCTCGAGTGGGTCGCATAATGAATCAATCCACACGTAAACGCAACACCCTGCAACAACCGAAAAATGTCAGGAATCACGCCGGAAAAAGTGCATCGCCTGCTTGTACCCTATGTCATTGTTTTGAATACGAAAGCCACTGGATTCAAGGCAACTTACGACATTGATCAAGGATGTGATATTCCATAAAGCATATATGCGCGCAAGACCTGCTGCCCGTTTAGGTCCACGACTAAACAAAGCACTGATTCCAGCCGGGAAGGGGAACAGTAGACCGAGAGGAAGAATAAATAAGACTAGGAAAAAGTTCAACAGTGAAATAGAATATAGCTGCAGCAAACTGAGCAAGACCATGCTAAAATCTCCCAAGAGTAGAATGGAGATGAACAAACCGACAAGATCCTGTGAGAATGGAAGAAAGTAGGAGGGAAAAATTAGAAAAACGTCTAAGAACAACTGGAAATCAGAATGAGGAACGACAAAAGACCAAGTTGGTACAATATAAATATAGGCATGTTCAATACCTGATGGCCAACCGGTTTGCCATTATAAACTACGAAAGAATATGGATAACATATAGCTTTGTTCTCTTTAAACGTCCTTAAGTTCTTGCTGTGTAAAATGCCTCCAGAAAATCTTTTCTGTGACATCCAATGGTCGATGAGTCTCAAATGCTCAAATGAGTTTTCCCAATGATTTCTTGGCGTACTGCAAATAGGGTGGAAGAAACATGAGCCATATGATATGTAACTTGCTAGAAAGATAATCAGAAGCTGAATGTTACCGTGACAGATAATCCCGCGGAAACAATGCATCTTGACCCTCCAGTATTGGTGGCACACTTTCATTGTCGATTGCATACATCAATAGTCCAAACTGGCTATACCCAGAAGCTGTAGGCTGAAACCAGGTAAGATCAACATGTACGCCATATAGCCTGAGAGTAGGGTTAGCATGCGTTTCAAGCCAGCTGATAACATGACCAAAAGTTAACTTTAAGTGACCACACCGAACCAATCGCAGTTGAGCGTTTAGACCAGCTACAAGCCGATACCAGATGGTAGGTGGAATACTCTGAAAGCAGATCAAATATAACGATCACAACTTTGCTTTATAAAAATATCAATAGGAAACAACTTCACATCGAACACAACCCTAAAGGTATAGGTAGATGACCTGACTCATGAGGCTAGTGAGAATGTTATCACTGCAAAGATGGAAAGGTGCCATGTAACTTCCATCTCCTCCAAAAATTAATGACAATGGAAATCGCTGATGAAGACGGGGAGGAAGACCAGCTCTTTTCTCATCTCCACCAAGGTAAAAGTCCACGTATGCAAGCATTAAATCAGAAGTTGCAGCTACCTGCGGCACAAAACAGTAAACGATGCTAAAACTGTTAATGCATCTGTTAACAAAATGTCTCCAATTAGGTACACTTCAAAAGATGTTGGCAAGAGAATTTATGACTTCTTTAGATATACCTTGAGTCCTTCATACAGTGCACGTGAACGACAAGAACGCAAACAAGAATGATCATATTCTGATCGAACATATTCACGAAGTTGTTGTAACTTCTTTTTCCTTCGACTCTGTAACCATGACCAGGCAAGTGGATAGGCAAACACACAAAGAATGCTGTAGACTGATCCTTCCCACCACTGATAAGCAGCTAAACCATTTATCTCATCCACAAATCTATTGAATGCAGCCTCATACCTGACATGTCATGAAATACTTTAAAACACTTAAAGAAGTTTACGTAACTTGAATTAATATGAAACAATGAGTTAAATTATCAAGCTCAAAGCATAAATGTAGAATTACATGCATAACTAGGCACAGGTACGACTTGTGGCCATTATTTTTCAGTGTACATCCGACCACCAAAGTCATAATACACGAAAGCGAAAGAGAGCTTACACAATCTCTGTGACTTGTTCTGGAGGGGAATGAGGTAGATGCCAAGGTTCACTGAATGTATTTGGCCCCATGAAAAACATCCTATGCACATGACTCTGAGATTCCTCGTTTCTATTTGTTTCCAAAACCTACACGAAAACAGGATTGTCACATCTAACATGATATGTCACACATTACAGGGCACTGTAATTTGGTTTTCAAATGACCATTCTTCCAGTTATAAAAACTATGTAGCCAAAGTTAAGATTGGAGGTGAACCTCATTCAACGATTCCAGGAAAGGGAAGGAATGATCTAAACGAGAGCCCTGTCGAGCAGGTAGAGGAGTCGGTAATTCGTCTCCAGTAACATACTTCATCCGTGCAACACTAAGCACAAGAGCTAACAGGATGAGGACGCTTAACAGAATAAAACCAAACCACCATGGTCCGCCAAAAGTGTAAACCAACTCTTCAAATGCTGTATAACACTTAGGCATGTGATATCTATCAGAAATGCACTTATGCGGACATGGAGTTTCAGTGACACCACCTGACCAAATTTGAATGAAGTTACAGAGATGATTTACCCAAAGAAAACATAATCTAGGCAAATCATGTAACACCACTCTCAACAAAAAAGATCCAATCGATCACAAATTCCAGTTCTTCTTTAAATAAGCTCACAAGAAAACCATAGCAAAACTCTTGCCCAAAGTAGCCAGAGTAAAATTTAGGGATACCTCGAACCGTGACATATATGGCACGATGTGGAAGCTCCAAAGATGGGCAAGCATGACAAAGGGCTCTATCAGAGCCACTCACATTCTTAAAGCTGCCAACAGGGCATTCCTGCAGTACAATTTGGTCAAATAGTGAACCTAAAAATGATATTTTCCCCACAAAAATAAAAAAAAAACAACAAAAAACAAAAATATGAAAACCA